TCCGAGCCCTTGGCGCAGGACTTCTTGAGTGGCTCTAAAATACCACCTTCAGGACAAACTTGATGTCCAAAATAGTTTATGTACCAGAGATGGCAGAGAGCGCGAACGTTTCTGCTTTGCTCTAATGGCAGTTGCTAAATAGTCTACAATGAATAGCTGAATTAAAATCCGGCAGCAGCTACTTTGGTTCCCTTTTTGGTAAAGCCAGCCTCTAACAGTCTCATTTAATAAGTTAATTAAATGAAGAGAATGACTTATAAGCAGATGTAAAGATACTTTAGTTAAGAAGCACATGCTGTAAGATTACTTGGTTGCACAGCAAGCTAGAAAGGTTCTTTTAAGAAATAAGTAAAATAACACTACTTTGACTTGGTTTAATGCTGTTCATAAATACAACTTAAAAACTGAGGCATTAGGAACACCTATTTCTTTCTTTCTTTTTTTTCTTCCCTCCTAGGATGTTTGATGAGAGGATTTTTACAGGTACGTTCTTCACGTTCTTTGATTTATTACTTGCAAATTGAAAGATTGCCCAGAGAAGTAGAGCTGAAATAATATTGCCTGTAAATAGCAAAAGTGCAGGACGTACATGATGCTGGTCAGTGAGGAGAAGCCTCGTCTGTGTATTACACCCAGGCACGGTAAGATTGCCTTTGCCTGGGATCAGTGCAAGCACTGTGCACCACTTAAGCAGCATTTTGAAGGTTTAAGTGAGAAATACATGGTGCATGAGGCTGGGCTGGCTCTCTGCGCCAGGGCGAGTTTCATCTACAGGAAACGCATGACATATTTCTGTGCTTTCATGAGGAAGAAAAATCACCGCTGGGTTCCTCGCTGGTAAATTAGTCCTTTTTTTTTCCCCCGCTAGAAAGTGCTAACGTTATCCAGCTACTTACTGTTTTTAAAATAAAAGACCAAAAATCAGTGTCATCAGTGGCAAAATAATCCTGGGGGTTTTCCTCTGCTTTTCCCCCTCTACACACACATGCACCCCCCCCACACACACACACCTTTAATCCTTCTGTTTTAAGTTGAAGAGAAGCCATTTGAAGTGGTTCTTAGCAAATAAAATGAGACGGAGAGTGGTAAGCCCCGACCCATCCATTCAGACGCAGAGAAAAGCTCGCTCCCGCGGCTTCCCCCGTCCCCATCTGCTCACGCCTCTCCGAGAAGCGACTGCGAAAACGGCACCCCGTGCTCCTAAACTTGTCGCCCATCGCTGGTCCCTGATCTTCGGGGCTCAGCTCACGAGCGAAGGCCGCCTCGGCAGGGCACGTTGGCACCGCCGCAGCCAGGTGCTCGGGTCGGCCAGCGGTTTCCCCCCCGCCCCCGAGCTGCGTGG